CTTTATTTTATTTACTTTTATGTGGTGCTGAGGATCTAACCCAGGCCGCTCGCATGCCAGGCGAGCACGCTACCGCTTGAGCCACATCCCCAGCCCTGGACAACTGTAACTTTCTAATCAGTCTTTTCTACCTCCAGTCTCACCACCTATGATCCAATCTCCAGACTGTAGACAGTGTTATCTAAAAAAATACTTCAATAAATCCTTGAATATGCCGTTCACTCCACTCCAGACATTACTTCCACTTGGAATCATGGTTACCCTCTGTTTTCCCTTGTCTACTTGATGACTTTCTTCCAGCCTCTGGGGAACTCCTCCTGCAAAAATCTACCCTCTACTTTTCCAGAGAGACTGAAGCACTTCCTCTTCCATGTTCCAGTAAGTTCTTCCATCTCTCTAGGCATGTATATCTCTCCCACTGGGCTGTGAACCTCAAAGAACATTTAATGTACCTTACAAAGAGCTGGGCAGGGTGGCACACACCTGTAATCCCATTGAGTCAGGAAGCTGAGGTAGAAGTCTCACAAGTTAAAGGCTAAGCTTCAGCAACTTAGTGAGACCTTCTCTCAAAATAAAAATTAAAAAAGAACTGGGGCTGAAGGTTCAATCCCTAGTTTTTTTAAAAAAAGAAAAGAAACGAAACACTTGATAAAGACCTATGTTGAAGGCAGGGAAGTCAACATGAAGGAAAGAAGACAAGAAGACAAGATCTGGGCATGACTTAAAAACACTGGCTGAAGACAGAAATATAACATCAATTTCATGAGTCAATATCAATCATATTTAAACTTAAATTAGCCCTTTTAATTTAGATTTAAATTCTCTGATCCTTGAAAAATATTTGAACAGATTCAAAATTACCTTAAAATTGTGTTAAAAATGAAACAGATATTATTTCTATAGAACTATTTGAGACAAATCATTCACTCCTTCTTGTTTTAAATACCTCAATTACACGAACCCTGGAATGCCTACAGTATATCTTAATCCTATATTATAAGCTRTCAAGGTAGAAACATCCCAAGCACCACACAGATGACAAGAAGCCTTCTGGTATCCTAAGAAATCAGCCAAACATCAATCTCGATGAACCATATTTAATAGGCTTCCTGGACTCTCACCTTCTCGAACTAAGTCCTCTGCAGTGTTAACTCCATGTTAGATGAGCTTCTGGCAGTCATCTAGTGGTTTAATGGTTTCCTGTTCAATGGTGTCTACCTCTTGCAAAAGGGTCACCAATCGTTCATCGAGTAGCTTCCCAAGAGTTCCCTTTAAATCATTAAAATGCTGTTTGAGGACATCCCTTGTCTGTGATGCACTGTCTTTGATCTGAAAAAGAAACAACTTAAAAACTCAAAATCTGAATTTCTAGAAAAAGTTTAATTATATAAAGTTACCATATAACTATCATCTTCTATTCTTTAAAATTTTTAGTTAAAAATATATATGCTTAAAGTAGAAAGTGTAATGTTCTAATATACATAATGTAGTCAACTAATATTACAATTAAGCTAATTAATATATCCATATTGTCACATGGTTACCTTTTTGTATGTAGTGAGAACACTCAAGGTATCTCTTAGCAATTTTCAAATGTATAATACAGTATCATTAACTATAATCCCCATCCTGTACATTAGATCTGTAGAAACTATCATATATAATTGAAATTTTGTACCCTTTGACCAAATATCTTACTATCCCTTTCTACCCCATCCCTGGTAACCATTCTGTTTTAGGCATTTGGGTTTTTTGATTACCACATAAGTGAAATCATGTAGTATTTTTTTAAACATACCTGGCTTTTTTCACTCAACAACATTTTCTTCTTTTAAAAGGCTGAATAATATTCTATCATACACACACACACACACACACACACACACACACACACTTTCCATTATTCCTAAATTAAACATAATTCATTTGTGCAAACTTGCAGAATTGCATAAAATTGAGTCACACCAGAAAGAATTCAATTTCTTGGTTCGATTATTCACAAACTATGTCAATTTGGTTAAGTTAATTAAGTACTCCATGCCTCAAATTTCTTATTTGTCAAATGAATATGAACAACAGTAACTTCATGGAGTTGCTATGAAGATTAAAATAATCTATGTATTGCATTTCATAAAATARCTAGCACATTGTCGTTCTCAATAAATAAATGTTAGGAATTATTATTTATCCAATGTAGTTTTGGGGAACAGCACACTTCAGTAAAAAAATTAATAACTAGGAGATTAAAATTCAACTTAATAGAAGCAACAAAATAGTATGTTAGGAGGTCGTAACATACATATACAAATCACCTCATGAATAAAATGTACTTGCTATGCTAAAAGAAAACTAAGATTTATAGTCCACAGGACTATAAATTATAGTCCAAAGTAGCCTAATTGGGACAATGACTTAATCCTTCTTGAGTTATGAGAGGTTTATAGACTCTCTTCCCAGAAAAAATGAATAATCTATGCCCTAAAAAAATATTCAATTTAAGTTTACAAATTCTTCAGACCCAAATCATGGCTTGCCAGAGTGGTAATTATAAAATTTTCTTTGCATGTAGGCTGCTTCTTATAATTCAAATTGCAGGGTTCCATCTCAAACCAGAAGCTTAGAGGAAGAGCTACAGGAGTGTATAGATGGAGTTCTCATTTTTCACAAGCATACCTGAGATTCTGCTGGACACACTTTAAGAAACACTGCCCTAAGTCCACAAGGCTGAGATTTAGAACCCCAGTTTGAAAAGATATGACAGAAAATTTGTTACATCTCATGCATATTTTGAAAACAAACAGGTTGGCCAGGCATGGTGCACACACCAATAATCCAGGCTATTCAGGAGGTTGATGCAGGAGGATTGCAAGTTCAAAGCCAACCTCATACTTTAGTGAGGCTCTAAGCAACTTAGCAAGACCCTGTCTCAAAATGAAAAATAAAGGGGCTGGAGTTGTGGCTCAGTGGTAGAGMACTTGCCTCGCAAGTGTGAGGTACTAGTTTGATCCTAGCACCACATAAAAACCAATAAAGGCATTGAGTCTATACACAATTTAAAAAAATGAAAAATAAAAGGGCTGACGATAAGGCTCAGTGGTTAAGTGCCCCTGGGGTCAATCCTCAGTATTAAAAAAAAAAAAAAAAGGCTGGGAGTATATCTCAGTGGTAACGCACCCCTTGGTTTAACCCCTAGTACTGAAACAAACCAAACCGTTTTTATTTTTAATTTTTTAATTTGTTCTAATTAGTTACACATGAAGCAGAATGCATTTCGTTTCACTGTACACAAATGGAGCACAACTTTTCATTTCTYTGGTTGTACACRATGTAGAGTCGCATCATTTGTGCAATCATACATGTACCTAGGGTAATTATGTCCTTCTCATACTATCATCTTTACTACCTCTCCCATCCTTCCCCTTTGCCCAATTCAAAGTTCCTCTATTCTTCACATACCCCCTCCCCCCATATGGATCAGCATCCACTTATCAGAGAGAACATTTGGCCTTTGGTTTGGGGATATTGGCTTACTTCGCTTAGCATGATATTCTCTAAGTCCATCCATTTACCTGCAAATGCCATAATTTTATACTCTTTTAATGCTGAGTAATATTCCATTGTGTGTGTGCACAGGTATATCATAGTTTCTTTATCCATTCATCTATTGAAGGGCATCTGGGTTGGTTCTACAATTTAGTTATTGTGAATTGGGCTGCTATAAACATTGATGTGACTGCATCACTATAGTGTGCTGATTTAAAGTCCTTTGGGTGTAGACCAAGGAGTGGGATAGTTGGGTCAAATGGTGGTTCCATTCCAAGTTTTCTGAGTAATTGCCATACTGCTTTCCAGAGTGGTTACACCAATTTGCAGTGCCACCAGCAAAGTAAGAGTGAGGTATTGTTTTGTTTTTAAAGAAATACAATTCAGATAACACACAATCCATTTTTTCTCCTTAGAGCAATTCTAACTCAGTTAAATTAAAACAAACACATAAGCTGAGATGTGGCTCAATGGTAGAATGCTTGCCTAGTATATACAGGTGCCTGAGTTCTACCCCCAGCACTGCAAATATAATAAATAAATAAGGAAATATATAATCTTCTTTGCAAATATTATTATACCAGTCTCATATAATATTGTGTTTACTACCCCCTAACCCTTTTGCTAATTTTTTCCTAGCAAGAGTTTGAAATATAGGCTGGGGTTGTGACTTAGTGGTGGAGTACTCGCCCCGGGTGTGTGGGACCCTGGGTTCAATCTTCAGCGCCACATAAAGATAAATAAGTGAGGGTGTTGTGTCTATCTACAACTAATATATATATATATTAATATATATATTATATATATTAATATATATTAATTTTTAGTTGTAGATGGACACAATACCTTTATTTTATTTACTTTTATGTGGTGCTGAGGATTGAATCCAGTACCTCACACATGCCAGGCAAGCATTCTACCACTGAGCCACACCTCCAGCCCCCCAAAATATATTTTTTTAATATTTATTTTTTAGAAGTAGTTGGACATGGGCTGGGGATGTGGCTCAAGCGGTAGCGCGCTCGCCTGGCATGCGTGTGACCCGGGTTCAATCCTCAACACCACATACCAACAAAGATGTTGTGTCTGCCGAGAACTAAAAAATAAATATTAAAAATTCTCTCTCTCCTCTCTCACTCTCTCTTAAAAAAAATTCTAAAAAAAAAAAAAGAAGTAGTTGGACAAAATATCTTTATTTTATTTATTTATTTTTATGTGTGCTGAGGATTGAACCCAGGGCCTCGCACGTGCTAGACGAGCACTCAACTGCTGAGCCACAATCCCAACCCCCTAAAAAATATTTTTTAAAAAAGAGTTTGAAATACAAGAAAAATCTACCAAGAAACAACATATCAGAATATGGATAAAGGATAATATTTCAACAGTTAATAGAGAAATTTAGAAAGCTTTCTCTACACTTTCTTAATAGCAAACATAAAAAGCAGATCTCTACACTTTCTTAATAGCAAACATAAAAAGCAGAAGACACAAGTAATCTGTGTGACTTGGGGGGCTGAGGCGACAGGATCACAAGTTTGATGCCAACCTCAGATATTTAGAAAGACCCTGTATCAAAATAATATGTAAAAAGGGCTGGGGATGCCAGGAGTCATGGTGCAGGCCTGTAATCCCAGCAGCTTGGGAAGCTGAGGCAGGAGGATCACAAGTTCAAAGTCAGCCTCAGTAACTTAGGGCRGACCTAAGCAACTTAATGAGACCCTACATCTAAATAAAATATAAAAAAAGGGCTGGGTATGTGGCTCAGTTGGTTGTTAAGTGGCCCTGAGTTCAATCCCTGGTATCAAAAGGGGGGCGGGTCTGGGGTTGTGGCTCAGTGGTAGAGCGCTTGCCTAGCACGTGTGAGGCACTGGGTTTGATCCTCAGCACCACATGGAAATAAATAAATAAAATAAGAATATTGTGTCCAACAACAACTAAAAAAATATATATATATTAAAAAAAAAAAAAGTTCCAGGGACATGGCTCAGTGATAAGGTACCAATGAGTTCAATCCCTGGTACCAAAAATGAAAAGAAAAGAAAAATAAAAAAAAAAACAGAAGAGAATATTGTTTTCAAGTGATTTCACAACATGTAAAAACAAAAGATTCCCATGCCCAAGAACTGAAACACAGAAAGAAGGAGTAGTTTCATGTGCTGGGCAGATCATGCAAATAATTGTTTTCTCCTTTTGACATTAATATAATTATATTTGTATAGTAACTAAAAGAAATTCTTATATCAAAAATAAATATAGAAATCCTAATCTAAGTTTAATTGTTAACTACAGAACTATGAAACAAACCCAAGTACAATATATATATATATAAAAGAAAGAAAAAAAGGCCATAAACCCAAAATGTATTTGTTTTGGTACATTGTTCAACTCTGGGATCCTTGAGAATCAGGCCTCAATCTACATAGCATGTGACAAATAAATGTTGAATAAGAATGAAGTCAATTATGGGTGTTTTAAGAAACATTTTGAAAGAACCAGGGAGAAAGAAGGCTTTGTGATTTTGATATATCATCTGGAATATTATTAGAAATGCAAGATCTCAGGTTCTATTCAGAAGTACCGAATCAGAACCTGTGTTTTGAACAAGGCCCCATGTGATTTGTATCCACAGTGCAGATGGCAGAAAAAATGAAGGCAGCATGTCAGAACACTATAGAACATTTCAAAAGCCCACCACCAAGAGGAAACACTGCAGTTGAGCACTCTACCAAGGTTCTATTTCACTCTCTAACGGATACAGCACACACAGGAAGTGCACTGGTTAGGTA